TCACTTTCTTTTCCTCCTTCCAATCAAGCCGACTCCCTCTGTAACTTGTACTTTGTCGCCTACGTTGTGTGTATTGGAAGCGAAGTTCACTTTCCAGTGCCTCACTAGACCATTGCGACGACCTATCCCTAAGTATACTGTATATTTTATCCACGTGACGCTGAAGTTTGTTTAGCCGCATCTACATTTGTATAGACTTTTATCTGAACAGATGTCCGCATTTCAGTCAATGCATAACAAATTTCAGCAAACGAAGGAAATAATACAAGTAATCGGAAGGTTGCTGAGAAATTCAGAAGAGATTCGCCCTCGGTTTGCAAGGTTTCCAGCTAGATAGGCGACTGGGATATTTCCGTAGAGACTAATACGAGAGGGTAATAAACGATATACAGAACACTTAGATGCACAAGAGCGGCATTTGGATTGAGCGCTATGTAAATGTTGAGTGGGGTGAGAGAGAACTTTCTGTGCAAGATAGGATGTAAATGTTTCATATGCGGACAAGTGAAGATCACACAGTTTTCTAGATATATGACCATTGGGTATAAGAGACACAAGACTGATAGTGGACAAACCGCCACGATGAATTCTGAAGCCTTTCTCAATTAGTCCGGGGGAAACCACGGGGGAAAAATAAAGAAGAATAAGGAAAACACCTTGATAAACAAACAGTAAAATGATTTTTTATTTGGCACTAAACTGTCTTAGTCTTCGAAGTCGAACAGACAATCCACGAAGTTTCTTCACACAGTTGTAAATAGGGAATGATAAATTTCAGTTTGTCAATGATAACTCCTAAATACTTCACCGAATTTACTCTAGTTTGGGCTGATTTGTGTCTACGACTGAGGAATCATGAGAATGAACAAATCGAGAGAGAGAAACTGTTGTGTCCGGATCTCGTTTGATCACAATATACACACAACAAGATATCACACGATGACACACGAGGAACACACGTACCTCAACGGCCACACTATTTGTCTAGCCTCACGAGTACGATCACAGCACAGATTGGACGCCACGAGCACTAGCAGCCTTCTCCCAGCTACGTAAGCAAGAACACAGTTCGTGCACAGCGAACGTGTATTCGACACACAGGAAAGCAAGTCAATTTACAAGTTTTAATCTGATGCTTATATGGGTCTCAAAATAGCATCGATTAAATGCAATAAATGATTATGCCAATCAAGTACAGTTAGCAAAGTTCGGTCGATCATAAGTCACGGAGTTAGCGAATTTCAATCGATCACGGATCTGACGGACGGAGTGAATGTCTCCGTACGACGCGATATGATTGATTATTCTCCGCGAGATTGGTATTGATTGGAGATGTTCCGAATTGCAGACACTCGAAAAATAGTCAGTTTTAGGTAAAAATAGTCTTTTTATCTAACAGAAGCACTTGGATAAATTAAGAGGCAGTCCGGCACGAACGGAAAATTCGTGGGTGATAGATTTGCCGAGAAATTAAGAAGGTCCTGAGGCACCGAATCGCATGAAAAAGAGCTATGTCAGCGTATTCTCTGACATAATCGTGCTCGCTGACAGGTCACTGATGTAAGTGGAAAACAAGACCGGATAATGTACCGCTCCCGAAGGGTTCGCGAGCGGCTTATATGTTTTCGTACCCAGCCGAATATGCTGAGTTTTGTTTTTGAATTAGTCAGAGCCACTCCAGTAGATGCTTAGGACAGTCAAATGGTTTCATTTTACGAAGGAGGAACATAGTGAAATAGTGGAATACAGTGAAGCAAACTTCACACTGGCACGGAAATAGAAAGTGAACCTCTACGGTCAATACACAGGGTAAACATTCTACATACATACCAAAAGTCTCAGTGTGCTCGTGAGTTGGTGTCTTGGGTTGTGGCTTATGACCCTTTCCTTGCATCTCTGGAAATGCTCAAATACGATCAAGCGTCTCAAGTAGTTTCTGCTGACGGAGCCCCACCCGGATCGCAAACCAACCATGAGGAGGCGTATGAAGCATCTTCCCGATTGTGGCAGTGATACCCGCTCATTTGGGTATCGAGGTGAATTGGGCATCTTGGACGTTTGACCCCGTCCAGAGAGCGTAGGATCCAATGAACTGGACACTGGATCCCAATGGATTGCGGTTTTCACATACCACCCCACTGCCTTGAGGATCAAGTTTTGACTAGCCGAAGGCTCCGGTTGCGAACTCTCCAGGAGGATTCGCTTGCTTTGGCCTGGGCAACCTGGTAGTATCGTGCCGACAAACAAATCATGGAAAGTTCTCCTTCTTATGAAGATCGTTGTACCATGATTGGTTTGGCCCACAGTCTGAACACAGACGTGTTCGAAATACAAATGCGCCTGAGGATTTGGTAACGTAATGAACAACGGAGGCGATAACATTCAAAGTGGACCTGTGTGATCCATACACCAACTAGAGGGGGTCTTTGGGGTTCTGAACGAAGCAGACAAAAGTTTCGGGATGGCATATTCTGACAGATTGAGACCATATGCTCTTAGAATAGTGGGTCGGAAATGTTTAGATAGGGTATGTTGGATCTACACAGTTTTGGAGTAGGAATGTTCATGACGGGTCTCTAGCAATCAGGGATAGAATACGTGCTATATGATGCGTTGAGGAGAGGAGTAAAAGAATCCGGTAGAGTAAGGGTACCATGTCTTAAAAGGGATGATGATAGATCGTCGAGGCCGATACCAGTGGATGATTTAGTTGTACGAATTAGTGTAAACACTACTTCTCTCGAGAACGGGGTTATATTAGCAGCATCTTCCGGAATCCACGAGACAGGAACATCACTTCTCCTATGTATAAATGCACGATTTGTACTCAACTCTCAACGTCCACAGCACATTTATTTGATCTGAATTCCGCTCCGTATAATATCTGAATACCCTTCCATAAATGTCTCTTATTGTGGCTGTATTGGAGTTCACACAATTTCGCAGTTTGAGCAAGTACTACTGATTCGATTGGACCTTCCTTTAAACGTCGCGTTCATACACAACTACATTTTTCACTGAAGTGTTTTCAAGACAAAATTATTGCGAGAATGTGAATCGTGTTCCAAATCCAAAGTGTAAACACCCTATGGGATTTGATAAGCGAAGTCTTTGTAAATTTTTTCCCATAATAAAAATTTGAATTTGAATGGCTCACAGAATCCAGCTGTCAAATATTACCTCACCACAGTGTGAATTTTCACTCTTGCACAAGAAATTCCACTGAGGACCCAGATCCACCAAAAACTGATTGGTCAGAAAAAGTGGCACTGCTGGTCTGCCGGGAGAGTGAGAGCGTTTCTGATGGTCCGGAAACTCCTGTGGCCGCGTGAAACAACAAAAAACAGTACAGGGGTTTTACCGGGCGTTTTTTTCTATTTCCTTTTGAATATTGTGTTCAGCTAACCCTCCCTCTCTCTATGCCTGATAAGAGATTAGGCAACTTGAAGTTAAAACTCCAATGGTCGTGTTTACTACTGGAGACTGTAATTTTTTCTTGGTGTGCACAGACTTCGGTCAATGGTACCCTTGCAGTTAAACCGGAATCAAAACTAACCCAGTTGTTTAAGCCAACTAGGTGGTCATCCAGACATCGCTGGGAGGCTTGCCAGCATAGATGGGGTCAATGAGACAGCTTTAAATCATGCACAGACATCTTGAAATGATAAACGGACATCTTGAAATAATATTCGGACAACTTGAATTTCAAAAGGCATAGACATTTGTCCGAAATGGGGATTACGTGGGCGGTGGAGGAAATGCCAGAATTCAGAT